ATCATTTTAAAAAATCTGTACTGAGCGAGATCTTCTACTTGCGGCTTTTTCAGGGTTTCCCCTCTTTTGCGGTTGTTCAATACGTTCAGATTTTTTATTTGTCAGTAGATACTGCTAATACCAACCACCTTAAACTAACCTTTGATGGAGTGTCGTACTTAGTGGATCTCAATAAAATTTCCAGCAAATGTGACTAGAAGGATTGGTCTCCGAAAACAGGCAATAATTTTGTTTTCGATCACATTCACAAAAATAATTTCAAACGTATATTCCATTGTTTACTTAAGTTATAATATCGAGAAGTGCTGTTAGGGATTTCTTAAAGAATTCTTATATTCAAATATAGGGTGCTCCCAATATCACGGGCTCTTCATTTAAGCACAATTCCTGTAGACTCCTTGTTTATGGCTCAATAATTATTTTTGTTGGATAGATTTTACCAAAAAGGCACTGAAACTGTTTTTTTTTGTTGATATAGCATCGACTAAAGTCTAAATTTAGACTAAAGTTTAAAAATACAAAATTTTAATTATACAAATTTCAAAACTTCAAATATTTTTTAAGGAAAATTTATTTTTTAGTAACATTGTATTTCGGAGGTGGTTTCCGGATGGTAACTACTCGTAATTACCTTAAAATAAGAAATGAATGATAAAATTATGAGAAGTGTCCGAGACATTTTAACTCGAACTGTTCAAAAAATTCTTTGATTCAAACCGATAAAATTTCTTATTTGGAAATTTAACATATCTCTTCAATGAAATTAAGGAAAAAATAGTTTCCGTGATCGTTTGAACATGATACTGCATGTTCAGGATAGTATAACAAAAATAAGTAGCCTATTGCAAATGAAAAATTTGAAGAAACGAAATTTTTTACTTCGATTGGATAAGCCCACCATTTTTCTCTATACATTTTTCAATGCGCATTTGATTGTTGCTAACTACTTTTGTTGTAGATCTGATGACATATCTCATTAATATTCCTTTTTGCATGAATCCTTTCCCAGCATTTAAAAAAATGCGGTAATCACACCACTCTATAAAAAAAGGGTGCAGCAATTATTTCAAATTATAGAGCTATAGCACTCCTTTCCGTTTTTTCAAAAATCTTCGAAAAAGCACTGCATTTACACCTATCAAAGTTTTTGGAAAGTCGAGACCTTTTTTCCGGCATGCTATTTGGTTTTCGAAAAAAGCGATCAACGCAGGATGCCATTCTCTCGTTATATCAGCATATTCTTGGCAATTTAGAAGAAAGGTAACAGGCAGCATGTCTTTTGTTCCATCTACAAAGAGCATTTGACTTGGTCGATGTTGATATTTTAGTGGACAAGCTTTGTTTATATGGTATTAGAGGTATGGTCTGCTCATAGAAATAAGAAAGTGACCAATTGCTTTGAATGAGATTATCCAAGGGTGGTCATTAACATACAATGCAACAAGATTATTATTTATTATATATTATTTTTTATTACGGACACAATTTTACCTGAATTTAAATTCCGAAACTTTAGGTAATAATCTTGTTGCATTGTATGTTAATGACCACCCTTGGATATTCCCATTCAAAGCAATTGATCACTTTCTTATATCTATGAACAGACCATATCGCGTTAACTGGGTTAAGGTCTTTTCTTTAAGGTCGTACCCAATTGGTTAAATTGTGAGATACCTTAGGATTTGAATACGTCTCTGATTCCAGGTGTGTGAATTGCGCTGTACCTCACGGAAGTTATTTGTTTATAGTGTTTGATGTGTTTGCATTTTTCCCCCATACGTACTTTTCCCTTTTTGCGGATGATGCAGTTTCTACCCTTTCTGTGGCATCGTTTGAGCAAATTAGCATTGCAATCAAGACAACTGTTGAGCAAATGAAACATTATGCAAAAATTAACAAATTGATATTGAAAGTAAAACAGATGATGGACTTTTCAACACGGGATTTAAATAAGAGTTTATTAGTACGCTTCAATGAAAGCTCAATCCTACAGAAAAGTGTAAAATTCCTCGGAGTTTAAGTAGAATCGAGACTCTCCTGGTTCGAACAGGTGGACCACCTTCTCAAAAAACTTTCTGTTTACTGCTTTATCATATGGAGGCTCCGCCATAAGGTTTCTTTCCCCAGAGCAAGTCTTTAGGATGCAGAAACGCATTTTACGGACTATATTCTTTAAGCCGTGGAATTTTTTATGTCGAGACCTATTTCCACAGCACTTTTTATTGACACTTCCTAGTATGTACATATTAAATTGTGCCACTTATGTAAAACGTAATTCTAATCTTTATATGATGCCAAGAAACTCAAATATTCAGTATAATTTAAGACCGAATCTTAACATAAAAATACCTACACATCGACTGTCCCTTAAATCAAATAGTCCCTTTGTTATAACTGTAAAAATAAATTGCCTATCGAACTGAAGGAGATATCCAGTGAAACAAAATTCAAATGCACTCTTAAAGACAAATTGCTGAGCCTCGCCTATCACAATATTAAGGATTTTCTTTCTTATGATACCTTTTAATATGTAATCGTTGTTTGTTATTGTTTATATATTTGTTATTCATATAACATTATTACTTATTATTATTAATTAATTAATTATACTAATATTATTTTATATTTTTAGATTCGTATTATACTGCCAATATCCAACACTTATAACTCAAGTTTTATGGAAATAAAGCTATTTTTATCTTTATCTTTCTGTTACCTTTTGTCTCGAAGTGATATGCCAACCTGCTCTAAGTCAAACACAAGAATTTTATTTTCTTTACCGTAGTTATAAATAAAAATACAAAAATATAAAAAGGAAACAGTATGCCGACGTCAATCAATTTTGACATTTCTGTTATTTTCATTATTAAATCAGAATTGAAAATCCTTTTTATTTAAAAAAAAAGCAGCGTTGAAAAGTCTGTTTGATTTATGCGCAATAAATATAGCTAATTTTAAGAAAATCGTTAGCGTCTTCCAGTAAAATCTATCCGAGAACATCAATCAATTATCAAGGCTGATTCGTAGACAAATATTCCAAAGGAATAGTGCTTAAGAGAGGCGTCCGCGATATTTCAAGCACCCTGTATTCGCGCTTCATAAAAATAGTATAGTTAGGTATTCTGTAGTCCTGACTGTTGCCACTTTATTCTTTAAAAAATTCCTAATAGCACTCCTCTTTTATTAAATAGTCTCAGTCCGCTGTGAATTTATGTTGAAACAATAAGCACAGCAAAGTTTTAGTGCATTTTTGGGAGATGTATCCTTGAGAAAATATATGAAAATCGAACCATAAACAAAAATTTTACAAGGGCGTGCAATTCTTAAGTATGACACTGTATTCTTAATCTAACTGAAAACCCAAAAAAGCTTGTGCTAATGTTTGAAAATCTTCGAAAGTGATTTAAAATTTGTATAACTGTATAATAATTTTTAAAAAACTGCTCAAAATTAGAAAAAAGAATGTCATCTAAAGGTAGATTCATTATAATTTTACTAAAAAGCTATCCATAATTTTACAAAGGAAAAACAAATAAAGAAAAACTAGAAAGGCAATGCTCAATATTATCAGCCTCATTCCCTATTGAGGTACTATGAGATTTAGAACTTCATTGTTCATTTTTTGTACCCATGAAATCCGCAATATCCTTCTGCATGTCGAAATCTTTTTTTCAGTTTGAGCATCCAGTGTCCAGCTCTCGCATCCATCAAACAAGACAGAAAAGATCTAGCGTCTCACCATTGCCATTCTGAGCACAAGCATTACCCTCATACCCTCATACTCATGAATGTTTTTCTTGCCTTTTCAGTTCTCGACAAGATCTCTTTCTTCGAGTTACATTGGCTATTGGATATTGGTTCCCAAGCTTTTTATTGAGTCTATTTATTGAATTAGCTTCCCATTCTCACTTCCCATTTTAACCTTTTCAAATTAACCAACTTTAAAAAAAAGGACAAACATGTGAAAATCTGACATTAAGAACAAATACTAAATAAGAGAAATAAAAAGATGAGCAAAACAAGCTTAGAAGGAAAACGATAAAATAATTTTCTTGCTTAACCGAATATGTGAGAGACTGAAGGGTTCTGTCCAGTTAGTAGAAGGTTCCCATTAAGAAAATGAGAGCAGATCATCCCGATTTTTTATTTCATATAATTTTCGCGTTGCTTTGATATTCTTCCAAGCTATTCTATCGTATATTGTTTTCAAATTTTCCTTTTCAACTCCTTAGACTATTTAGTCAACTTATTAGATTTTAAATGTTATATATTTTTATTTAGAAAGTTTAGATTTTAATTATTGTTTTTTTTATTGAATTTATAAAATAAAATTTAAAAAAATAATTCTTGAGTAGTCTCTGGTCAACCTTGGATAAAATATAAATAATTTCCAATTTTAATATTCACAAAACAATAACTGAATATGACACTAGTGATAAATAACCACGAACTCAGTTAAATAATCTCCAATAATTAAAAATCATACAAATATCGTATAATCTGAATGGCAAATCGGTTTGTTTGGTTCACAAACCACGACAGCTCTTAAACAAAATGGCCGTTCTGCGTCACACTAATTATGAAACAATATACCGACTCTGAAGTCGGCCCTTCATAACTTAATGATTAACTGGGCGCAATCTTGTCAGATATCGAAGCTGCATATTGACAAAATTCAAAGTAATTTAGATAATAAAATATTTATTGGTGTTCTTTTTTTCTGTTTGAGGTTTAACCCCAAGGTTTTAGGTTGATAAAATTAAGTAACGTTAAAATAAGATGATCTGTCCTTACAATTCAACAATAAAGCAATTACCGAGGTTTCTTGCTGTAAAAATCTTCAATTGAGTAAAGTTTTACTAGGAAATTAAAACAAAGCTCGTCTAACCCACAATAATTTATTATTACTATTATTATTATTATTATTATAATTATTTATTACATATTTCTTGAGCAGCCTCTGATCCCCCTTTGGATAAAATGTGTACTATCTCTTGTAGGGTCCTCAATTCGAAATTCGAGTCCCTATTCCTGCCGTGTCGTTCACCGAGAACCCGGCAGCAGGAAAGGTTCAAATCCAGCCGAAAATCTTCTTCCGATCCGGCATATCTTCTGCATCAAAAGTTCATCAATTACAAAGAGATTTCCGATTGTACACGGTCAACGACCCAGCGAACGCGTAATAGAAACAAACCTCGCAAAACTCGACGATGATGGACTCATTTCTTCGCGCTTCTTCTTCGTAGCCATCGAGGACATGATCACTGCCGGTCGACGAACTCTTCGCGCGTTGCCAAATCGCGAATAATCTCGCAAGACTAACTCGTCGGCCGTTGTGGAGCGACTCGCCTAGTTTTTTCCGTCGCGGAGAGTCAACCAGCACGAATATACAAGGTGCATCAATAATCATGAAATAAATAGCCTGCGGCAAGGATTTTAAGAAAGACGGAATGAAGAAAGTACTTTTTTTAGAGAACAGAGAGTAATTTTGGTAAATATATACAGGGTGTTTGGCTAATTTCTATGGTAAATACAATATTCAATAATGCTTCAGAAAATACAGATATATAAATAAATATCTCGATGTTAAATATTTGAAAGAAAAGTTTCCTGATTCCTGCTAATTGATAATTGATTACTATTACCTGATAATGCATAGTGTGCAACATATACCCACCTCTACCTTATTCTCCTTCGGGCTCTGTGAACTCATACTTCTATCTAACTAAATATCTACTGTTAACATTTTAATAATTCTTGTTTTGCTGAAACTTATTGTAATTGATATCTGAGGATAATAAGCATCACATTTAACCAGATAGGTATATACAAAGGTACTTAATAGTCACTATAATATAGGTGTTATGGTCTTCACCTTGATTACCCGACTCTCTATCTTGTAGGGATACACCAACCTAGAATCTAAAGATTTTAGGTTTATAATGCGATATGTTTAGAGATTCTAGGGGCGTTGAGCTAGGTATGAATTTTCCTTAAGGTTTCTTGAATTTAAGGGAATTAGATGTCTTCGGCGGACTTTGTCCAGGTATTCAGAGAATGGCGGCTTTGCAGACGATATTCTTGTGGGATTAGAGACATCAACAGGCTATGTATGTTTCCCTTTCCTTGTTTGTAGATTCACATTGACCATTTCTTTTGGACACTGTTATGTCTGTTGCTTAAGGTAAAAAGGGTTAGGTATTAATTTTAGTTTATTTGAGGTCTTAGAATATAATGCTAATCGCAAATAATTTTGAGTAATTTCTATAGGCGAGAACGAACTATCTCAATCAATAATACTAATGAAAAATCTTCTAGTTGGCTTCTTCAGAGCTTGACTGGAACAAGAATCCAGAAGCTTGTAGCATAATGATTGTTTCGGAAACAACGAAGAAATAAAAATACTGTACACTACTATGAACTTAAATAAATTTTCGAACACATCATGCTTATTACATTATTTTTTTAATTTTATGTTTACCCTACAAATTAGCAGTAAATTCTTAAAAAAAACACCAAATTCTGAATAACAATTAATCATGCAACACGGCAGTAAAATGGTGCTACTACACAAATAAAAAGAGGATCATACTAAAACCGAGTTTATTTTTAATAAATACAACGCAGATATTTTAAAATCCATGCACGTGCTTCGCGTGTCGGTAACTATCGACTCTCTGAAATTTGTAACAGGTATGGCAACAACGCCGCGGCCAAGACGTTAGTACCACCACCGTCCACTGCGGCGGGCCAAAACTATTGGAAGCCGTAACTAGACCACTAGAACATAGAGGTGTCGCGACTGACGTCATACTTATGTTACCTACATTAGACATCACCGGTCGATGAACCTTTCTTCGAAATCGAGATATTGAAATCAAAAGACAAGCTTTTCCCGATCTTCTTTCCGCGAACGTTCATCCACAGTTAAACGGCTCGGAACGGCACATAACCGTTCACCGATTGAACTTTGGGGCCGCGATAACTATAAAAAAAATCTTTTTATGGTTAATTTTCGTTAAAGATAATAAGTTTCGCATTAGTGCGACTATAAAATAACTCTTTAGCCCGAAAAAGAAAAAGAAAGTTAACCGTTATGTAATTATTATTTACTGTAAATAGGAAACTCAATACTAAAAACAAAACAACCAAACTTCTTGATACTAACGAAAAATTATTATGGTTTCCGAAAATCCAGTTTTCAACATCACAGCTCTAGTGTATTCTGTCTGATTGTTATTTCTTTTTCCATTTTACTTATACAAGTTGTGTACTTGTAGCCATTAGATTTTGGTTTTTAATTTGTATTTAATTTCCAATCTGTTATTTTTCGAGTGCCACTGACCAGAACAGCACCAATTCAATTTTTAAAACAGGGGGGGTCTTAATTTTAAGACAATTATTATAATATCGTTTTCCAATCTTTAAAGAGGGTATTGTTTAAGTTTCCTTTTTTACTCGCTGGTAAATATTTACATTTCAGAACTTCTGGAATCACTTTTCAAGTTTCAAGAATAATAATTGGTAAGCCAAACATGCAAATAATGAAACTATAACTCAAACTCTGGAATATTCCCTCGTGTCACTACATAAAGGCTGAAGAATTATTCAAACTTTAGTATGTTAGTTTTGGTTAGTTTTACTAAGCAATGAAAATAATTGTTAACATATACATTATGTATACTAAGGTAAATAAACAGAACACGACAAAAAAATTATATACATTTTTAGATTTTTGCAAAAAATTTCCAATTTAGTGATGTTTCAAAAGTACTCAAAAGATTTTATAACACTTCGTAAAGTTTGGCCTTAACTATTTCATAAAAGCCATGATTTATTTGTCACCTTTTTTCCATCTAAGGCGGGCCCTTGATGACACGGACGTTAAATAACTCACAGTATCAAAATTATGTTTTAATAAATAGTACGTTTTCTCTCATTACATTCATTAATGTAACAAAGAAATTATTGAAACCTGTTGAAAACGGTTGGTAAAATTTTACATGTTCAACTTGCAGTGACACAGAAACGCCATCTATACCTCAGCACAGTATTTGGTGATGTATCCTGAAAACCGGCTCGTAAGATCCGATTTAGAAAAATCGTAGTTAATTGAATTATCCATGAGGCCTTCGAACAACCTAGAATTGGATACACTGAAAATGAAAATCGTAGTCAGTCAACGAAAACCTTAATGCATCTTTAGGAACTGTAGAACGGGGAAAAATTGGTCTGCCAAAATCCACGCTACATGAAGAGTTAAAAAAGAAAAAACTTTAACCAAAGATGAGCTTAGAAGAACCTGGCTGGAACTCGGCTCTCAACACCATCCAAGTCAGGACCTTAACAAGTTCCAAGCACTTTGACGAAAGCATTATTTCAGTAATTGGTCGAATTTCTTGGCCCCCTAGATTAACTAACTTTTAATGTCAATGTTAAATAAATCATAGCCTACTATCCCTGTATAGAGAAGCGAATCTGGATAACAGGAAAGAAACATTAAATTATATTCAATGTACAACGATGCTTTCGTTAAAAAAATCGCTTACGCTATAACAGCGCTTGCTCGAAACAGACCTTTTGATCAGATGTCTAAAATGATTCTCGTTTAACATTTTAAAATATTGTGGCAATTGGTGGCAAGTTTTATGTAAGGAGAGATTTTCGTAACCTGTATCTCTGAAGGATGAGATTATTTGCACTCCGGGTGCCATACCTATAGGAATCCGAACCTCCCGGCAAACGGTGAGTCTTGAAATGTATCTCAACCAGAATTTGAAAAACAAATATACCTGGAACTAGTATTATTTTGTGAATTAAAGGGTTGACTAAAATTATAATTTCTGATTAACCATAGTGCCTTTTTTTACGGCGACTTACCATGATGGCTGTAACTTATATGTGTACAAAATGAACCAGAGTCAACTAGTTTCAATACTTCACCATTTTAAGATTTTTGCTAAACTCTCTCGATTTATTGAATGTAGAAATAAAACGAAAACTCCAAAAGTTTGTCATTTGTTTAACACAAAATATCCAACAAATTTACATTAGCACAGGAGCTGAACGAAGATGATTCCAACCGCAGACTGCAGTTCGAATTTGAATTTTGAATAAGAAAATTGTTTTACTTTGTTCCTTCCATCGAAATGTTACTGGAGAACGATGTTTACAATTTTTTCAAAATGACTTCGTTTCTCACTCTCGCAGTTTTTTTTTTGCCCAGATCCACAGACAGAGACAGAGACAGACGTTTCCACAGTATGGTGCTCCGCCCAATATGGTTTTTCCTTTGATATTGGTCTGCAAAGTCCAATAATTTTGTTATTCAGCACTTTGGATAAATATTTATTTTTTGTTGATATTGTCTTTGAGTTTAAGAAAAAAATGTCCAATCCAAACGTTATAAGACTAAAAGAAACAATTTAAAATTATGCAGAAATATACAAGGTGATTCATAAATGTGGGAAGCCAAACTTAGATTTTTTAAATGAAACGCCGTATATATGTAGTCGTTATGGTCTATACTAAATGTTTTCGGATTTATGGACATTTTTCCCCCAAAAATGTCCTGTGTTTAATAGCCTATATTTTTAACGCCGTTTCTGACAGCTGTAATTTTATAACGCCAAGAATTTTATGAAGTTGTATAGTAATAGTCATAGTTAGTGCGTCAAAATTAAAAATATTAACTTCCGTGAAATAATCAAATGGAACACACTGTTTATTAATCTTACATTAATTAATTATTTTGTTCTCAATCTTTCGTGATATTTTCACACTGTTTGAAAATTTTCAGTATCTTGTACGTAAAAATGTGTATACCTCAAAAAATTCTAAGTTTAGGTATAGAGAGTGCTTAATAAAATTGAAAGAGCATTAATAATGATGCTCCTTTTGATTTTTTCGCTAAAATTAATGTTTTCCATCTTGACTCACCCTGATTGAAAGATTCGAAATAACTTCAAGACAAGGGACAATGGGACCATCAAAGCGTCTTATTTGCCAGACTATACACAAATAATAGTAATTCTGCATTACACTTGATCGGCAAATGTGACTACACAGCAATTATAAAAACCCTGAACATAACTGTGTTGTGCAGATACGTATTAAATGAATAATTATTAATTGTAAGTATTAGAAAACTATTGACTATACCAATCCGGAAACGGTGTCAAAAATATAGGGTATTAAACGCAGGGCATTTTTGAAGAAAAAGACAGTCATAAATCCGCAAACAGTGAGTATAGACCATTACAACAACATTGGGTGATTGATTATAAAAGGTAGTATCTATTAATGACATAATACACAGGCTGTTCCGTTTAAAAATATATAAATTTGATTTTCCACGTATTTATGATTCACCTTTTATATTTGACAATTATTTT